AAAGGTATGAGGAGACTTCATAAGGGACTCGATGCAACGGCGTTGCGCACGTCGGTGGTCGGCTGTGATGAGACTGAAACGTGTCTGCTCCGCGGAGGGCCGGGCGCGCGGCGCCCGGAGGAGCGCGCGGTCACGGGGCCGGGGGGAGCGGGGGGACCGCGGCGTCGTCCTCCGCGGCGTCGTCCTCCGCGGGCGCGGCGACGTCGTCCTCCGCGGGCGCGGCGACGTCCTCCGCGGGCGCCGCGGCGACCTCGTCCGCGGGCGCCGCCGCGGCGGCGTCGGCCGCGGGCGCCGCCGCGGCCTCGTCGGCCGCGGGCGCCGCCGCGGCTTCGAAGTCGACGCCGCCGGCCTTGAGGTCGGCGACGGACTCCTCCGTCTCGTCGCCGCCGGCCCAGCGGACCGCGACGCGCGCCGCGTCGCCGCCGGCTCCGCCGCCGTCGTCCGCGCGCGGCGGCGCGCGCGGCGCCGACGCGGCGGCGACGGCGAGCTCCGCGGCCGCGTCGAAGTAGGCGCGCGGGTCGACGCCGGCGCCCGCCGCGTCGGGCCGCCGCGCGAGCGCCGCGATGGCCGCCGTCGTCGCCGACGCGCCGACCTGCGACCGGAGGTCGAACTCGTGTTCCCAGGAGCAGTGGAGGAACGAGTGGTCCCGCCACTTGACGAGGAACCGCTCGGGCTGGTCGTCGCCCCAGTCGTCGTCCTGGATCCACATGGACCCGTCGGTGACGTGCCGCGTTCGCAGCGCCTGTGTGGACATCAAATCTTCAACCCGACTTCAACGTGCGCGTATGCGACAGTTTCGACGCGAGCTCTTCGGCCGTGCTTCGAGAACTCGACGAGAGCCATCGATTCGTCCAAAAATGAGCCGGATCGACGTCGATGTGATCGAGCTAGAGAGGTTTGAAGTTTTTGCTGGACGGGGCGTTCCACCGGTTGATTTCCACGCAGCGCAGCGCCGGCGAGCCCGCGGTCCACGTCGCGCGGTCGAAGTCGCGCCGCGCGAGGAGCCGCTCGATGACGAGCGGCGGCTCGTCGTCCTCCGCCGCCTCGCCGTCGTCCTCCGCCTCGTCGTCGTCCTCCTCGTCGTCCTCCTCCTCCTCCTCGTCCTCGGACGTGTCGACCTCCGTGTACATGGTCCGCCGCTTCGCGGCGCGCGCGCCCGCGTCGCGCTTCGGCGCCGCGCGCTTGCGCCGCCGCGCCGCCGCGCCGCCGTCGCTGCTCTCGTCGTCGTCGTCGTCGTCGTCGTCGTCGTCGTCGTCGTCGTCGTCGTCGTCGTCGTCCGCGCGCGCGCCGCTCACGCGCGCGCTCCGCCGCGAGCCGCTCCGCCGCGGCCGCGCGGCCGGCCCGTCCTCGTAGTCCTCGTCCTCCGCGTCGTCCTCCGAGGACGACCCCTCGTCCTCGTCGGCGAAGGGATCCTCGGACTCGGACTCGGACTCCGCCGCGGCGCCCGCGCCGTCCGCCGCCGGCTCGAGCGGCGACGGCGGCGCGGCCGCGTCGCCTTCCGCCGCCGCGGGCGCCTCGGGCGGCGACGGCGGCGCGGCCGCGTCCTCGGGAGGCTCGGCCGGGGCCATGGGCTCGTCGTCGGCTGCGCTTTCGGTCGGCCTCGCCATCGTGTGGTGCTCGCTTTGCTTGTGGCAAATCGATGGGGAGATGATGGCGACCGCAGCGTGCATGCATCGATGACGGACGCGACCGCCGCCCTTGACGCGCCGGACGCCGGCGCCGCGCTGCGCGCCGCCTGCGCCGCGGGCGACGCGGCGCGCGCGGCGGCGCTGCTCGACGGCGGCGCGTCGCCGGCGTCCGTCGACGGCGACGGCTTCAGCGCGCTCATCGGCGCCGTCGTCGGCGGCCACGGCGCCGTCGTCGAGCTCCTGCTCGCGCGCGGCGCGCCCGTCGACGGCGCGACACGGACGCACACGCCTCTGCGCGCGGCCGCGCTCCACGGCCGGCCGCGACTCCTCGCGCGGCTCCTCAAAGCCGGCGCCGACGCGCGCGTGCCGTCGGCCTTCGGGCGCACGCCGCTCATGGGCGCGTGCTTCGCGCGGGACGGCGTCGACGCCGCAGATGCTGCCGCCTGCGTCGCGCTGCTCCTCGCCGACGCGCGCGGCCGCGAGACGCTCGAAACGCGGAACGACGCCGGCGAGCGCGCGCTCGACCTCGCGGAGCTCCGGGGGGACGCGGCCATCGCGGCGCTGCTCGCGGACGCCGGCGCGACGCGGAGCCGCGACGCCGACGCGCCACGGTGACGGGGACGCGTAATTGTTCTAGAGTACGCGCGCCGGCGCGCCTCGAGATCCGCCGCGGCGCTCGGCGACGTGCTTAGATCGTCGGAGCTCGCGCGGGCCCGGCCGTCGCATCTTGGGGCTTTGCGTGGCGCTCGGCGACGTGCTTAGATCGTCGGAGCTCGCATCTTGGGGCTTTGCGCGCGGCCGCCTAGGCGGCCTCCGCGGCCTCGCCGCGGGCGACGTGGGTCTGGAAGATGAGGAGCTTGCGGAGGGGGTGGTTCAGGAGCCAGCCGTTGCCGTGGTCGCGGCCGTGCTCGTCCTCGAAGTCGCGCGCGTCGGCGATGACCTGGATGATGTCGCTCGACATGGTCACGGGCTCGCCCTTGCGGAAGACGACGCCCTCGTCCCAGCCGTAGGTCGGCGAGTCGTAGCGGACGCCCTGGCCGGAGACGAGCTTCTCGGCCTGGCGCATGACCTGGCGGCGGTTGTCCTCGCTGATGGGGTGCTCGTCCGTGAGGAACTCCTCGAAGGCGTCCATGTCGAACTCGCCGAGCATCGCGCGCTCCGCGTCCGTCATGTAGTCGACGGCCTTGGGGCCGCGGCGCGCGCGCTTCTTCGGCCGCGGCGTCTCGTCGAAGTGGGACTCGTCGTAGCTGAGGCGCTCGACGGGCGCCGCGCCGCCGCTGAGGCGGCTCGACGTGCGCCGCGGGCCGCGGACCTTCTTGGCGCGCGGCGTCCGCGGCGCCGAGGCCTTCTTCGGCGCCTTGAGCTTCGCGGCGCCGTCCTTGCCGAGGCCGAGCGACACGAGGAACGCCTCGTTGCGCTTGATGCGCTCGTCGCGCTCGATCTCGTACTGGGACTTGACGGCGGGCGCGATGGCGGGCATGGTCCTGCGAGCGGGCGACGGTCGAGCGGCGGCGACCGCGAGCGAGCGGGTCCGAGGGCGAGAGGCGGCGGCCTCGCGGAGGCACGGCGGCGAGGCCGGGCCCGCGACCCGTCGCCGTCGCGGCCGTCGCGCGACCCGTCGACGGCACGACGACCGTGTGTCGAGGGATCGACTCGGAAACATGCGACGCACGCGCCGAGCCGGGCATTGGCGTTGCACACACGTAGTGTCGGGGAGGCGAGAGGGGACGAGGCGCGGGCGGAGGCGCAGGAAATCCGGACGCCGGAGCAATGCAATGAGCGGAGAGTATTGGGCGGGGCGCGTCGAAGCGTTTGAAAAGAAGCGCCGGAAGCGTGAAGACTGATTTAGGAGGCCTTTAGGTGTTTTGTTAGTTTTGTTGGCCTCGCCGGAGGCCTCGCCGGCCTCTGGGTTAAGGTCCGTCACGCCGCGGCGCAAGTCTCGCTATTCGCTCGCTAGAGGTGGCTGCCAGCCCGTAGGCCGATGGCCGCGTAGGTTCCCGGCAGATGATCGGTGGACGGTCGTCGACGTCGCGCGTCGCCACGAGCGCGACGGCCCTGGACCGCGACACCTCGGTCGCCGTCTTCGGCTCAGCAGCCGCCCGTCGTTCGTGTACTCGAAGCCTCGCGGCGACGGCGGCGGGCCTCGGGCGCGTCCTTGGAGAGGCGCTTGGAGGCGCTTTAGGGTAGGGCCCCTAGCTGTCGAGGAAATCGCCACAAGATCTCCACAAGCTCTCCGCGGACGACACGACCGCGCGGTCCAGCGGCAGCAGGACGTCGTCGACGGACGCGTCGTCGTCGAGGTGCACAGATGTCCCTCGCATCGGGCGTAGCCAGGATCGTCAGCGAGCTCGCGATGGAGCGAGTGGAGGGTCTGTCCATCCCTGAGATACTCGACAACGCCGAAAAATCATGCGCCATCGATTTCGATAAGGATGCCTCGCTGCTCGCTCGGACGGCGGCGATCTTGGAGAAAATCGGCATCGCATTCGAGCCGTCGACGAGTGAACCGTCGGACGCACTTCCGGCGGCGCCCGCGCCACCGGCGGCGATCACGCCACCGACGGCGATCACGCCCACGGCGGCGCTCGCGCCTCCGGCGGCGCTCGCGCCCGCGGCGCGCGCGCCGCCGACGGCGGTCGCGCCGCCGCCCGCGGCGGGCGAGTCCTGGGGCGACGCGTTCGCGTTCGCGGCGGGCGATGCCGTCGACGGGCGGTGGACCAACGGCGAGTGGTACCGGGCGAGCATCCTCGAGGTCGACGAGTCCGACGCTTCCCGCCCCTACCGCGTCCACTACAAGGGCTGGCCGAAGCGCTGGGACGAGTGGGTCCCGACGGCCGACCTGCGCTTCACGATTCGCGCCGACGCGGGGACCCGCGCCGACGCCGGTAGTCCGGCCGGCGCGAAGCGGTCGCGGGGCCCGGGGCCCGCGTGGTCCGTCGGCGATCGCGTGCTCGCGAAGTGGGCGCGCAAGAAGCGGCGCTACCCGGGCGTCGTCGCCAAGGTCCACGGCGATGGCACCTGCGACGTCAAGTACGACGACGACGGCGACGTCGACGCGGGCCTCGAGGCGGCCTACATCGAGGCCGCGCCGCCGCCGCCGGCGCCGCGGCGCACCCGCGTCAGCGGCGACCTCGTCTAGGCCTTCGCCTGAGGCGCCCCCCCGCGTCGTAGAGGGACGCTAGTCGCGGCGGAGGAGGGAGCCGTCGCGGCCCTGGTGGAGGCCGCGGGGCCGCTTCGGCGGGGCCTCGGCCGGGAAGCACGCGCGGCAGTGGGCCGCGGCGGCGGGCCCGCCGAGCGCCGCGCACCTGTCCTGGACGACGTGCGGGTGGCGGTAGCCGCCGCGGAGGTGCATGTGCTTGAGGTCGGAGACGAGCGCGTTCTCGCGGTAGAGGCGGCCCGGCGCCGGGTGGACGTTCGCGAAGCCCCGCGCGCCGCCGCGGTCGACGTCGCAGACGCCGTCCGCGGGCTGCTTGTCGTCCGGCGGCCGGTTCGGCGGGTTGGGTTCGCCGACCCACTGGCGCGGGCCCGGGCAGAAGTAGGCCTCGAGGACGTCCTGGTCCGTGTTCGTCATGGCGACGTAGTCGCCGGTCCTCGCCTTGGCGAGGAGCGCGTCGAAGATGTGCTCGTCGGGCTTGAGGAGCACGAGGTGCGTCCGCATGCCGACGAAGTCGCGCTTCGCGTTCTCCTCCTCGGCGACGACGGCGCCCGTCGCCGTGATCGCCGCGTGGGACGCCGCGAAGGGCCGCGGGTCCTCGAGGACCGTCGCGTCGAGGTCGATTTGGAGTACCGCGTCGAAGAAGCAGCCCAAGCGCCAGACGGCGAACTTGTGGTACGTCATCGCGCCGTCTTTGCGGTCCTGGACGTAGCCGGAGACCGTGCGCTTCTCGGCTCTGGCCGCGGCGGCGGTCACGGGCCGCCAGGCGTTGTACGGGTTCGACCCGAAGAGCCGCGCGGCGTCGACGACGACGACGCCGGCCTCGCAGAGCCGCTCGGAGGCCGCCGGCGCGACGTTCCGCGCGAGGACGACGAGGGGCACCGTCCCGTTCGTCGCCCGCCGCAGCAGGCACGCCTGGCCCAGCGCCGCGACGAGGCGCGGCTCGTCGTCGCGGAGCTGCGCGAAGCCGCCGTTGAGCAGCCGCCGCCGGCCGTCGCCGCCGCCGCGGAGGCACCAGCCGGGGTCCGGCCGCTTGCGGCCGAGGTCCGGCTCGCGGTCGCGCCGCCGCTTCAGCTTCGCGTAGCGCGCCGGGTCCGCGACCTTGTACCTCGCGAGCTCGTCGTCGTCGTCCGCCGGCGGCCGCTCGGGGCACGTCGCCCAGAGCATGGTCACGGCCAGGGGCAGCCGCCGCGCCTTCGCCCGGCGCAGCAGCTCGGCGCCACGCGGGCAGCTCGCCGCCGCGACGACGTCTGCGTCGCAGACCTCGCTCGCGGACGCGGCCGCCAGCGCGACGGGCGCCAGCCACCACCATCGAGCCATCATCATCATCGGGCAGCACCTCGGACGGCGGCATCGCGGCCGAGCTTGCGTTTAATTGCGTTTGGCCGGGGCGAGCCGCGCGGACCCGCGCGCGCCTCGACCGGCAAAGCACGCCTCGAGGCGCGATCCGCGCCGCCCGCCGGGCTTGATCGTAAGCCCCGCCGGCCACGCCTAGGATTAGGGGCGCCCGGCGGTCACGTTGCGCGGTCCGCGTCGCCCGCCCGGTCCTCGAAGGCCGCGAGGCCGTGGAGGGACGCGTCGGAGAGGTCGCCGCCGTCGTCGGCGAAGATGCCGACGAGGCCGCTGTAGGTGCCGTCCATGGAGATGGCGCCGCGGCCGCCGTCCGCGCCCGGCGCGTTGCGGCGCCCGACGGCCGGCGGCGCGGCGGGCCCCGGGTCCCCCGCGCCCCCGGCGAGGCGCGCGAGGTCCTGGGACGACGCCGCGCGGCGCGGGGCCGGCGCGGCGGCGCGGCGGGTCAGCGCCGACGCCGCGCGGTCGCCCGGCCCGAGCGTCGCGAGCGCCTCGAGCGCGAAGGGCCGGTGCACGAGGACGAGGTCCGGCGTCGCGTGGAGCGCGCGGAGCGCGGCCGCGAGGCGCGGCTCGCGCGCGCGGTCCGCGGCGGCCGCGAGCTCGCCGAGCGCCGCGCAGCCCGGGGGCAGGCCCGGCGCGTCGCGGAGCTCGGCCCGGACCCGGCGCCGCGCGGCGCCGTCGGCGACGGCGACGAGCGCGGCCCGCGCCGCGCGCTCGGCCCGCCGCTGCGCGAGGACGCCCCGCGCCGGGTTCGCGAGCGCGACGGCCGCCGCGGCCGCGAGCCACGGGCTCCCGAGCGCCGCGGCCGCGGAGAGCCGGGCCGCCTCGGGCGCGAGGAGGCCCTCGAGCAGGTCCCGCAGCGGGCCGGGCGCCGCGGAGAGGCCCGGCGGCCGGTCCCGGTAGAACCGCGCGCGGTAGTCGACGAGGCCCGCGAGCCCGGCGCCGTGGAGCGCGCGGACCTCGTCGCCGCCGAGCATGCCGTCGACGAGCACGAGGAGCACGACGCCGACGGAGTAGACGTCGCCGCGGTGGTCGTAGTCGAGCGCCCAGGCCTCGGGGCTGCTCCAGAAGGGGGACCCGGCGTCGGCGGCGTAGCGGTCGCCCGGCGCGAAGACGCACGCGGACCCAAAGTCCGAGAGCCGCACGCGGGCCCGGCGCCGGCCGTCGAAGGCGACGAGCATGTTCTCGGGCTTGACGTCGCGGTGCGCGACGCTCACGGCGTGGCACCGCGCGATGGCCGCGCACGCGTCCGAGAAGTAGGCCGCGGCGTCGCCGGCCGTGAACTTGCGCTGGCCCTCGACGTGGTGCATGAGGTCGCCGCCGCCGCAGAGCTCCGTGAGGAGGAGGAGCTCGCCGGGCGTCTCGACGACGCCCGCGAGGCGCACGCACGCCGAGCCCGGCGCCGCGACGCGGCGGAGCACGTCGATCTCGCGGAGCAGCGCGTCTGCGCGCGGCGCGCGGCTCAGCTCGTTGCCGTCGCTGAGCTCGGCGCGCTTCTTGAAGACCTTGGCCGCGAAGGCCGCGCCGTCGCGCCGCCGCGTGACGACGCGCACCTTGGCGAACATGCCCTCGCCGAGGGCGGCGCCGAAAGCGTAGTCCGCCTCCAGGGCGGACTGCGACGCGTACCAGACGTCGGGGGCATCCTTGAAGAGGTCCTGCGTGCAGCAGAGGCTCAGGACGCCGCCCATCTCGCCTTGACGCGTCTCTAAACGTAGGGGGGCCGGGAGGAACCGCGGGGGACGGGAGGCTCAAAGGGGCGCCCGTCTCACGACGCCCGCGGCGTCGGCAAAGGCTTGTTGCACCTCGATCGCTGGTGCAATAGATGTGCAATACGCACTGATTGAGGCCTTGAGGCGAATCACGACGCGTCGCGTCGCACGCAAGCAGACCCCGAGCACGTCGGTCGAGCCATCGATTACGCGCCGAGCGGCCGCTTGACTTCGCGGACGCCTCTTTTTCCCTCCGCACGGACGCGAGGCGCCATGCCCCAGGGCGGCCTCGGCATCGCCCCCGGCCCGGCGCTGTGCCCGGCGCTGCGCCTCAGCGAGGCCTTCGAGGAGCGGGGCGACGGAAACGACCGGCGCCGCGTGTCCTACGGCACGGCGTCGATCCACTACTTCCCCGTGGCGCCGAGCGACAACCCCGCGGTGTCGAGCGGCGTCGGCGTCGCGCTCGCCGGCGCCGCGGAGCTCTGCGAGGTCGTCGAGGTCGAGGACCACCGCCCCCTCGGCGCGCGGCGGCGGCCCGTGCGCTGGCTCGAGCCCGCGAGGCGGCGCGCCATGCTCGCGGCCGAGGGCGTCCGCGCGCCCGCGCGGGACCGTCGGTCGTGCCGACTTCGGGATCGCGCGGGCCGACGAGAGACCGCCGCGCCGACCCGCCGACCGCGCCGCGCGCGCGACGGCCGCGCGGGACGCGCGCCCCTAGGTCGGCGAGGACGAGATCGAGGCGTGCCGCGACTCGATCGCGCGGGCGCAGCGCGACCGGCTGCTGAGCCTGCCGCCGCTCCACGCCATCGAGCAGATGCCCTGGTTCGTCGTGCGCAGCGCGCGGCGGGCCCTCCGGCGGCGCTGGGGCAGCTTCGGGTCGCTGAAGTCCGCCGCGGCGCGCCGCGCGACTTCGCTCCGGCGCGATCGCTCGTCGAACCACGATCCGAGGCGCGATCGCTCGTCGCACCGCGATCCGAGGCGCGATCGCTCGTCGAAGAATGACGTGGAACGAGCGCGAAGCCGCGACCCACGTCGCGCCCTCCAGGTCGCTCGCGTCGTCGAGCAGCCTCGCGAGCCTCGACGCGTCGCGCCACGGCCTCGCGAGCATGGACGGCTCGCGCCACTCCGCGGCGGGCGGCTCGGGCGGCGACGTCGCCGCGCTGTCGGCGAGCCTCGGGCTCACGGGCGTCGGCGACGCGTTCGCGGCCGCGCGGCCCGCGGGGCCCCGGCCTGTGTGGAAATCGACCACTGGTTTGGGACGTCCCGACCAAACTTTGAAATTCTCTAGCTCGGTCACTTCGAAGTCGATGCGGCTGATTTTCGGACGAATCGATTGCTCCCATCGAATTCTCGAAGCACGGCCGAAGAGTCCGGCGCAATCCGTTCAATTACGCGCACATTGAAGTCGGGTTGAAGATTTGATTCCCACGCAGGCCCCGGCGCCGGCGGCCCGCGGCCGGCGACTGCTCCGACGGCGACTCGTCCGCGGGCTCCCTCGACGGCTCGCTCCACGGCCTCCTCGACGGCTCGCTCCACGGCCTGCGCCGCGCGCGGGACGGCTCGCTCCACGGCCTCCTCGACGGCTCGCTCCGCGGCCTCCGGGGCGGCGGCGGCGGGGGCGACGACGCGGCGCGGCACTCGCCCCTGAGCCTCCCGCGCCACGCGCTCGCCACGGGCGAGTCCCTCGACGCCAGCGACCACTTCCGCGGCGACGCCATGGCCCGCGCGCTGCCGGAGACGTCCCTCCGCCGCGCGCGCGAATTCGACGACTCGTCGCACCGCTCCGCGCTGCGTGGAACTCACATCTTCAATCCGACTTCAATGTGCGCGTATGCGACCGTTTCGACGCAAGGCTTTCGACCGTGCTTCGAGAACTCGACGAGAGCAATCGATCCGTCCAAAAATCAGCCGAATCGACTTCGATTTGACCGAGATAGAGAGTTCTGAAGTTTGGTTGGGATAACCCAGCTCACTGCTTGATTTCCACACAGGCTCCTGGCGCGCGCGCTGCGCCCGGAAGCCCGCCGTTCCCAGGTAATCCGACGGAATCAGGTGGCGAGGAGACGACGCTACCCCTAGGGATAGCTCGTGTGATCGCCACGCATTTGAGTTGCTCGTGTATTGCACCTCTGCGATAATCGACTGCAGCACTCCGCGTCGACGGACTTCGGAGCCGTCGTCGGAGCGTCCCAACCCACCGCACGTGCGTACCCGCGCGCCTCCCCCCCGCGGCGCCCCTCCCGCGCGTCGCCGTCGAGATTTCCACCAAAGTCGTCGCGCACGTCGTCGCCGAGCGCACTTCACCATCGTGTTGCCGTACCGTCCCTCCCTCGTCCCGTACCGTTCCGCCCTGGTCGCGCTCCATGCGTCGCGCCCCCTCGCGCGCCCCGCAACCCCCGAGCGCCCCGAGAGTAAAAACGCGCGCGCGCAGGTCTCGGCCGCGCGGCGGGCGTACGAAAAGGAGGCCGCGATGGGCCCGGCGCGCGCGGACGCGGGCTTCAAGCGCCACCCCGAGGAGTTCCCCGTGCCGGACCCGAAGGACGCGTCGACGCCCGACGCCTGGGTGAAGCGGAACCCCGCGCTCGTGCGCCTCACGGGCCGCCACCCGTTCAACGTCGAGCCGCCCCTCCCGCTCCTCGAGGCGCACGGCCACTCGACGCCCGCGAGCCTCCACTACGTGCGGAACCACGGCGCCGTGCCCGTGGCCTACGGTAGCGCGGCCGAGGCCGACGCCGTCTACGACGGCTGGCGCTGCGAGGTCCTCGCCGGCGGCGGCGTCGAGGCGAAGTCGCTCTCGATGGCGGACCTCGAAAAGTTCCCCAAGGTCGTCGTGCCGTCGCTCCTCGTCTGCGCGGGGAACCGGCGCAAGGAGCAGAACATGATCAAGCGCACCATCGGCTTCAACTGGGGCGCCGCGGGCCTCGGCATGTCCGAGTGGGGCGGCTGCCACCTCGCGGACGTGCTCGCGTCGCTCGGCGCGCCGACGGACCCCGCGGCCTGGGACGGCGGCGGCCACGTCTGCTTCCGGGGCCCGGACAAGGAGCTGCCCGGCGGCGCCGACGGGTCCTACGGCACGTCGCTCACGCTCCGCTACGTCATGGACAAGTCGAACGACGTCATCCTCGCGTGGGACTGTGTGCAAATCAAATCTTCAACCCGACTTCAATGTGCGCGTATGCGAATGTTTTGACACGAGAACTTTCGCTGTGCTTCGAGAACTCGACGAGAGCAATCGATCCGTCCAAAAATCAGCCGAATCGACTTCGATTTGACCGAGCTAGAGAATTCTCAAGTTTGGCCCCGACGTCCCAGCTCACTGGTTGATTTGCACACAGGCGTGGGAGCAGAACGGCGCGCGGCTCCAGGCGGACCACGGCTTCCCGCTGCGCATCCTCATCCCGGGCTTCATCGGCGGCCGCATGGTCAAGTGGCTCAAGGAGATCAAGATCTCGCCCGAGCAGAGCGACAACCACTACCACTTCAAGGACAACCGCGTGCTGCCCGTGAACGTGACGCCCGAGCAGGCCGAGGCCGAGGGCTGGTGGTTCAAGCCCGACTACATCATCAACGAGCTCAACATCAACAGCGCCATGTTCCACCCGGGCCACGGCGAGGTGCTCGATTTGGCGACCGCGGGGCCGACGTACGACGTCGAGGGCTACGCGTACGGCGGCGGCGGCCGGAAGATCATCCGCGTCGAGGTCACGCTCGACGGCGGCGCGTCGTGGTTCCTCGTCAAGGACGGCGACGTCACGCACCCGCCGAACACGCCGAACAAGGCCGGCAAGTACTGGGGCTGGTGCTTCTGGAAGATCACGGTGCCGACGGCGGACCTCCTCAAGGCGCCGAACGTCGCGTGCCGCGCGTGGGACGCGGCGATGAACACGCAGCCGTCGAACCTGACGTGGAACGTCATGGGCATGCTCAACAACCCCTGGTTCACCGTCGTCAAGCACTTCGACGCGGGCCCCGCGGGCACGCCGGTCCTCGTCTTCGAGCACCCGACGCTCGCGGGCGCGCAGGCCGGCGGCTGGATGACCGACGACGCGCGGCGCCTCGCCGGCGCGTCGCTCACGCCCGAGTCCGCGGGCGCGGCGGCCATGCGCGACATGCACGCGGCGCGCGCGGCCGCCGTCGGCGGCGGCGACGACGTCGCGGCCGCGCCCGCGCCCGCGGCCAAGGCCACGGGCGCGCCCCTCGGCAACACCTACACGCTCGCGGACGTCGCCAAGCACGACACGCCCCAGGACTGCTGGATCGCCGTCAACGGCGTCGTCTACGACACGAACCCCTACCTCGCGGAGCACCCCGGCGGCGCGTCGTCGATCACGATGAACGCGGGCACGGACGCGACGGACGAGTTCACGGCCATCCACAGCCGCAAGGCCTGGACCCTCCTCGACAAGTACGCCATCGGCACGCTCGCGGCCGACGGCGGCGGCGCCGCCGCGGCCGCGGACGCGCCGCGCCTCGACGCCAAGGGCCGGCCCGTCGCGCTGAACCCGAAGAAGCGCGTCAAGCTCAAGCTCGCGCAGCGCGTCCAGCTCAGCGACGACTCCTTCCGCCTCACCTTCGCGCTCCCCAGCGACGACCACGTCCTGGGCCTGCCCACGGGGCAGCACGTGCTCGTCTACGGCCAGGACGCGGCCGGCAAGTCCGTCGCGCGCGCGTACACGCCCGCGACGGCCGACGAGGTCACGGGCCGCGTCGACTTCGTCATCAAGGCCTACCGGCCCCTGCCGCCGCGCTTCCCCGACGGCGGCGCGCTGTCCCAGCACCTCTGCGACCGCATCGCCGTCGGCTCGGAAGTCGAGTTCCGCGGGCCCATGGGCGAGATCGAGTACCTCGGCGGCGGCGCCTTCGAGGTCCACGACGACAAGGGCGTCAAGAAGCGCATCGCCGTCAAGCGCGCGGGCCTCATCGCCGGCGGCACGGGCCTCACGCCCATGCTCCAGCTCATCACCGCCGTCGGCGCGGAGGTCGCCGCGGACGCGCCCGGCGCGCCCGCGCTCTCCTTCCTCCTCGGCAACCGCACGGAGGCCGACATCCTCTGCCGCGACGAGATCGAGGCGGCCCAGAAGGCCGGCGCCGTCGACCTCCACTACACGCTCGACAAGCCGCCGCCGGGCTGGCCGCACCACACGGGCTTCATCGACGACGCGATGCTCGCGGCGACGATGCCCAAGCCCGCCAAGGACACCTACTTCTTCTGCTGCGGCCCGCCGCCCATGATCAAGTCCGCCCTGGCCAAGCTCGAGGCCGCGGGCCACTCCAAGGCCAACATGCTCTGCTTCTGAGCGCGCGCGCGCCGAGAGGCGCGCGCGGAGCCGCGGAAGTCCGAGCCTCCGCGGGCCGCCCTGCACAGATACCCCCGCGGGCCCGCGCGATCCCCCCCCCCCCTGCTGCTCCCGACCTTCGTGAATTACATGCATCTCTCTGAAGGCGTCTCTGAGGAGTCGATGGTCGCTGAGAATCTGCCGCAAGTAAAATATCCTCCATCGATCGCTTGACCCCCGCGCCGTCAAAGATGTCCACGCGCGCGTCGAAGAAAGCGAAGACCGCGTCGGACGA